AAGCTGTTTATGAGTATTTTTCTATGTATTTATTATTTTTATTCTTTTAAAGAGATTCAATTCATGCAATGAATTTTGTGTGCAAGTTTTATTTCCTTCTGACAGAGGGGGATATGTACTTAGAGTTACACTCTTCCTTGTATCCATCTAATAAGTGTAGTAAGTTATTGCGAAGTGTAAACAGCATTCTTTGGTTCCATTTTTTCTGCTATGAAATTTCTCCCTGATCAGAAATGAAGTTCTCTACAGTAAATGGAAGATGTGCTGTTTTTATATGGACTGTTGGACATCACAGAGCATATTTGGTAGGAGTTAAGTTCACTGCTGCTACTGACTCCAGCTCGCTTCAGTAGTTACTGCAATGCTTTGTCTTTACTGCTGAGCAGGGGAGAACGAAGGACTTGACCTGATTTCAGAGTGGTCACTGTGCTGGGGAATCTGTCTGGCACAGGAGTTCCTCTGCAAATTACACAGGAAATGCAGATAGTGTTTTAAGGGCATATTGATTTATTTTTGTCTCCTGGGTACAAATTCACATGTTGATACACTGATGCATCATTAGATCCAAATTGCTGTTGTTTCTCAAGCTCCTCAAGAGAATATTCCACCTCATTGATGTTGTTGTATCTTGGATATTTATTATTCAGGGAAATAATATCTGCAGGCTCTGTAGCTTGAACTTGTTTATGGTGGCTTCTGGGCTGGGAATACGTTTATCTTCTTGTAACAGAGGGTAGTGACATGCAGAGCACATTTATTCAGATTCCACTTAGTACAAAAAGAGGGGGGAGACCCTCTCAGGGATCAAATTCTGTCTTGTACCTCTACTGAAATTAAAATCAACAGAAGTAACTCTTGACCTAGACTAGAACATGACAAAAATACAGACAAATCTACCTTTCTGTGTCATATTGGTATCACAGAGCCTTTTCTGGTTCTGCCAGGAGTAAAGGCATGCTGTCAGAGTCCACATTCCCTGTCAGCCCTTTTCCACATCCATTCCTCTTTTTTTTTTCCTCTCCATCTTTTCCTCTGAGTATATTCCCATACAGTCCAGCCATTCTGGGCATCCAATTTGCTTGTGAAGTGTTTTTTATGTCTGACTGCTGTGTAATGCCCAGAAGCACTGGGTGGTTTCTATGGGCAAAGCCCTGCACGTGTTGTAAGTTCAAGTCCATCTAGCAGGCATCATACAGGGGCTGCTATCTAGAGAAGGGGAATGGATTCACTCTGCTGTAGTTTTCCATTAGTGTTCTACTGTAAACTGCATATTCACAATTCCTTTTCAGTTTTTGTTTCTGCTAGTCAGTAATTGACATTTGTTTTCTCACTGCCATGACCTCAGGCCTGCAGGCTTAACTCACATTGCAGTCCATGCTGTCACTGGCAAGAAAAATCCTCTTGCTAAAATGGGTAAACATGAGTGAACAAAATGTGTAGGCCCTCTTAGAACTGAATGGAATGCAAGTTAGAGCTGCCTCAGTAACTGTTAGCAGCTCTTGTGTATCTTGGGCAAGTAAAGATGGAGATCTCTGATTTTTGCCTCAGTGTGGTCTGTTACAGCTCCATCGTGCTTACCCCAGTGTAGGTTTGTTTTTTCCTTGGTGTATTTGGTCAGACAACAGTGTGTATCCAATTTACAGAGCAGAGCTGGGAACAGCTCAAGAAGATGTTCTTGTAGCCTGAGCTGCTCCCTGGTTTGTCCTCTTTGCCTGGAACTCCTACTACTGCTCAGAAAACCCCCTAGAGAAATGGGTGTTAACTTATGTGAGAGTCCAAGGCAGTGCAGGTTGGAGCCTGGGACTGCAGTGTGTAGAAATAACAGAAAAATATTAAAGAGCAGGCTTCACTTCCTTGGATTAACTGTTCTGATTATCTTGTATTTATTTAGTTGAAAATTCATCTATGATGTTTTAATGGCTTTCACTACAAAGTATACAATATGCCCACTTCTTATTTCATCTTCTGCAGTGAATAATTCATTGTGCTAAACTGATAGTGAAGGCTTTCAGCTGTAATTGCTGGAGTCTTTGAAATATGAAACTGAATTCTTTCAATGAAATGGTCGTAGGCTGAGTCACTTAGGAAGTTTGTTTAGGTAAGCTTTCAGCTACAGACTCTGTTTAAAAAGATACTTTTGTTCACTTGGTTGCCTATTGGGTTTATCTTCAATTTAGCTTTTATAGATGCATCATTTAGAAATGCATTAATACTCTGCAGTGTGTGTGTGCATTCATTCAGCATAGAACACCCAGGAGAAACAGATATTTTCCAGACACAAACTATAATTTTTCTTTCTTTTAGCCAATACTTACAGTGACACGTTTTAGAATATCCCAGTTCTGCGTATTAGTCTGTCTTGTGTTTGTATCAGGTCTTGATTATAATTTCTTTTAAAAAATTTAGAATTTATCTCCTGAAGATTTATTTATATGAATTTTTCATAGTACAAGTCAATCACACAAATCTGGTGCCAAAATGCAAAATAATATGAGAATACCGTCAAAATAAGCATGTGTATACAGCTGAATGCTTTCCAACACTTGCCCAGCTGCATTTTACAAATAAAGTTGAATCCATTTATGTTGATTTTATGTCTGCTAGCTGAATTTAATTTAATACAATAACTTAGTATTCTCCTCATATTTGTTCAGGTCTTTAGATTTCAAGGGATTTGTGAGAAATGTGTATTTAATTCAGACTAATACAGTAATGGTAAATTATTCTTCTGTTTACAGTATTTATCTACAAATTTGATTTCTACAGTCACTAGCATGAGAATATAAATGAAAACTGGTAAAACAAATGGAAGAAAAACAATAGAAATGATTGGTCTATTATTCTTTTCTGTAAGCTTCTCAAGTAAATCACGAGAGTCATGTCTACCTAAGCCAAATGGTGGCGTTTGCACTTGCCAGGAATTCTGTATGAAAGAATCCTGATTGTTTCAGGATACAGACAAAATGATTTTAAAAAATGTTTCATATTTTGCTGCTGGGACTGGCTGAGCCTCCTGATGATAGCCCAACACCCATGAATTGATTATTTTGATGCAAATTTAAGTCTCCAGAAGACATAAAAGCTATGAAGAACTATGCACATCCAGTCCCATCTCACAGATGTTTCCTGAGTTCAGTGTCCATATGCAAAGCAAAGGCCAGTTCCAGCACTGGGTTCTTAATTCAGGTGTCATCTCAATTGGCATTAGGAAAAAAAAAACCTATTTTAAGTAAGCTGTTTGAGATTCAGAATAGCTGCTAATTTTAGTTTCTTATATTATTTTAATTAATACATTACACCTTTGCTTATTTTGTCAGATATTAGCTTAAAAATTGCTTTAAGGAAAATTTAATTCAGTTTCTGTATTTGACTCTTACATTTTCATCCTAGCAAACAAAATAAAAAGGGAAATATTTCTCAGTCTTTATTGAACAGTTTTATGTAAAACTGTCAGTTGACTTGAAGAGCTGTCACATGACAGACTTCACTGAATGTATCTTTTCAGGTGCACATCAAATGGTTTCCATGTAGTAAATGTTCCTTGGAGAATGGAAAATTTGTTCTCAAATTAATCTTGCTGTTCTCTGCTGTCTTTTTTCTCCTTTATTTCTCTAAGAGCATGTATGTATATTTGCTATCTTAACTAACCAATGCAAATGGAATTCCAAGTAGGATTTTGGTTGCATCAGTTGTTGCTGAGAAGTGAAGCTGCAGGAACAGCTGTCAGTTTGCTTAGGTTAGCTCAGCTGAATTAAGAAAATTCTCATATGTTGATTTTTTAAAATGGGATATTTACTTTCCTAAAATAGATTGTAAGAGCTTTTAAAACAGCACTGAAAACTCTTCCATGTCAATCATTTTGACTTCATGAAATGTGTGAGGTCCAATGTTTGTGCTCCACTGTTGCATGTACTTGTATTTTGATTCATAACAAGGTTTAAAGCAGTCCTGTGCTGTAGAGTTAATACTTTTTCCTCTTATCTTCCACATGACAACTTTTGATCTATAAATATTTCTCTGTGAGAAACAGTGAAACACTGAAGTACTGTGTAAAGCTGTGGATTATAAGGGATGGTTTTACCAGCTTGCCTGATTGCTTCTGCTGTGTGCAGCTGAGGGAGACCACTACAAGCAGTAATTGCCTGCCTTGACTGATTTCATTGTTATTCCTTCATCCCCAGTCTCGGGGATAAACAGTTAAGTGGTGGTGATTACATTATGCACTAAAATGTGTGCTGTTTTACAGTAGAATAAACAACCACAGAAAAATATGATGAAAGTGCTCCAGGTAAAAAAACCAGAAGCTGTTTACTCTAGCCTTTCTGGTTTAATTCACAGGGCTAAAAATGACATATTCTGGAATTCTTTTTGCATTTTGTCCACAACAGTTTTCTGTACCAGGAACAACGTCATCTCTTGATTATTTTCCTTTTGAATTTGAAACTGAGTCTGCTGATGTTTTCTTACATCAAATCTTTTTAACTGTAAACAGAGTCTGTGCCTACTGTTGAAACTTTGGGCTATACCTGGCAGAAACACAATTTGCAATCTATGATCTTAGGGGAGTGTTCTTAACTCTCTAAAGACGCTGCATAACTTCTCTAAATGTCTAAATATACTTAGGATAAATCTAATTTTTAGTATTCAGGGAAGAAATTTGAGGGTATTTAAACACCTTAAAATCTCATCTAAACATCTAAGCAGTATCTCCTGGAAGGGATCTGGTTTATGTGCATGGAGTCATGTGTTAGGTTTTTAGAAGGCTGACATAAGCAACCAAACTATGTGTCCTCCCTTCCCTTAGCTACTTTTTCCCTAAGCAAAGCTGAAAACTCCAACCTGTGTAATGAGAAACACTTGTGAGCAAAACCAGTGACAAATGTATGGCATTGCACACCATTTTTTAATATGTGTGTGTATATATATATATACACCTACCTAATTAATTATATTTTTTAGGACACTGATATATCAAATTTAACACTTATAAAACAGCCAGATTCCAGACAGTGCAAATCATACTTTAATATATTATAAAGCTATATAGTAAGCCCACTCCATGGGCTTCACATGCACATAAAACCAAGAGTTACATAAATAATATCAAATGACAAAACTGGAAAGCAGTTTCTGCATACTTTATTTTACAATTCCTCACTAAATATATTTACAGGACACAGAGTTTGCTTTAGTGCAATACATATTAATGTTGCATAAGTACAAACTGTTGAACTTTTCTAAAAAAAATTAAAGAAATAAAGCACTTAACTGATGTTACAGCTAAGTATGTAAAGCAACGTTAATAACTCTGAGTGAAAATGCTAACAGCATCTTTTCTTCTCATAAACAGTTTCTAGAAACAAACCACAAACCGGCATTACATATTCCAAACTACTACCCCTTGTACAGTACCATATCATTTAAAAAAATCACTTTTTAAAAGCACATATACTGTACTGTACAGCAACCTGTTTCTACAGATACTGACTTACTCTTTTAATACAAATATGATATTACCGTGGCAGTTTTGAAGAACAAAGTTATCGCAAGATATCAAACATCAGTAACAAACTCTGATAAGCACAGCTTCTTGAGAACCTGCTTTAACAGCATTTCTTCACAGTGATATTTATGAAAGGTTGGAAAAAGAGATTAGCATAAAATATTTCCATCCTTTTCAGTTTTTATGCAAAAATCATTACTTTATATTGGTAATTATAAAATTACAAACACTTTCTATAAGTAACTGCATCTGTAGTAATGATAGAAAAAGTCATCAGTAAGACACCTAAAATGAGGCTTGCATAACATGAGAGTTTGAAGAAAACTAGGTACACCTCATTTTTAAAAGAAGAGTAAGGGATGTGTGTAACTTAATTTAGAATAAGCAACACAGTTTAACCGCGATAACCTATTATCAATTAAAAAAGCTACTTACTTATTAATAAATGGTAAAAAATAATCAAATTGTGATGAGGTGAAATCAACATTTAAAAAGATATGATGAAACATTTACTCTTAATCTTAGTTTTGGCACTTCATTGGAACAATTACTTTACCAAAGACCAAAATATGTATAAAAGATATACAGCTCCTTGACAGACCTTGCAAATATAGTACATAAGTACTGGCAAACACTGAAAACATAGTTAAACATTCCCACAGATTTGCACATGCATGCACTAGTCGGACAACAGCGTTGTATTTATGCTCTTGGCGGTGACAATCTTGCAGTACTTGGGTATCTTAGGCCGTTTCTTCAGGAGATCTCGTTTCTGTTTTAAGTCTTACAAATTCTTTAGCAACTTCATCATTGTTCCTCTGAGAGAGTATTCTAAGGATTGTCAGGCCAGTCTCATCCACGGAGATGCTCCTGAGCAGGGGGTACCAGGCGGCGCTGCCGGCCCTGTCGGCGATGGCCTGCAGCTGGATGACGGTCATGCCGATGACGCGGTCCTCCCGCGCAAAGCAGTAATCCTTCACTGACAGGTGCACCTCGTAGGCTCCTGGCTTATCTTCGTTACCCAGCAGGCTGGGAGGATTAACAATAGGAATTTAGAACAAGGACTTCAGTTTAATTTCCCCCAAGGAATTAATTTACTCTGGAAATCTTGGGCAAATTAAAGCGAGAGTGGTATTTTAAGTTTTGTGGTTCCATTTTGTTACAACGGGTTATCTACTTTTAAACTTTCTACACAGGTAACCCCCTCAGATGGACTGGTGATGGAGCCTCTGTTCTGAGCAGCCTGAACAGAAACAGAATTCCTTCAATAGTTGGAACAGACAGTTACCTTTCCCTGGAAAGGACAAAAAATGTTCAGCTGGTTCCCCAGCTGTCAGCACCATTTCTTTAAATCAGCTTCAAAATGCACAGAAAATCCCTGGTAGCAGGCATCAAAAGGGGCTTTATGGTGAGACACAATGAACTCATTTTAGTCAGGGTTGGAGGGTAAGGAGAGGAAAATAAGTTGGTCTCAGGAAAGGGCAGAGAAATACTAAATTTAAAACTCTAGGTTAGGTGGAAGCTTCTTACCGATTTAAGGATTAAATTAAACAATGCTATTAACACATGCATAACCCAATAAACATTTTGATATCTCTACAGGCATTATCTAGAAATAATCACTAATGCGTCTGTCCAAAAAATACATAGGCCAATAGATTCCTAGGGATAGAAATAATTATTCCTCTGTAGGGAAATTAATTATACTTTTTAACCAGGTTTTGTAGGACTGAAATCTTGGTGATTGCCATTCAGTTTAATATACAACAAAGATACAAATTAGTAAACAATTTTGAAATGGTGTCTATATATCTATATTAGGATGTTTTTTTGTTATTAATGGTTTAAAGGCAAAAGTATTTTAGGGAATTTTTCAAAAAATATGCAACTCCTAGAGATAAAAGACTTACAATTGGAAAGTTTCATTGTACTTTGGTGACCAGGTGTTGCTCTTTGTCTTGGTTCCATGTTTTCTTTTCTTGTCACTTAATTTAGGACCCAGTATGCAAACTTCCACGAACGGCCGGAACATAGCTGTTGTTTGCCAGTTTAGGTTATTGATTGCTACAACTATAAAGAAATAAAGTTAGATGCAATTCCACTGGAGGTGTTCCAATTAATTACCCTGTATGACTTGGTATAGCCAGTGAAAGGTGACCTGAGAGCCTTCCTATGGAATATGAATACCTGGTAAGGAGATGCTTTGTCCCTTCCCTCCCAAGTGAAGATGTCTGACTACTTTTAGGTTCAAAAGTATCAAATGTAAACTTGTATTTTATAAATCCTTTACATTTGCAGCTTCTTTTCACCTGCTACCTTCACTGCAATTAAAAAAAAAAATCAGCTTATACAAATCTGAATGATCCTGTGTTTCTGAAAGTCAGGTTGCGCAGGGTAAAGGCATTTTATAAAAAATGCGGCTTCATAAGACTTGGTGTAGTCATTCACCACTCAGCTTTGCTATAGTTTTTAAAAGCTGAATTATGTACAAGCAATTGAGAAGTATAATTTGGCACATTTTAATTTATAAGTCTATAACTTAGTATAATAACTTTAAATTATCTAGACAGAGAAGCATAGACAGTACTTGCCTGCATAATCTGGGTTTCTGCTGATGTTGAGCAAGGAAAAAGTGCACTCCTAATCACCTGAAGTGTACTCAGAGTTTCTCAAGTACTGTAATACCTGTCATTTTTTATTTTAGTACTGGTATGTTTGACTTAGGATGTAGGGCTTGGAGGTTTGGTCTTTGTTGTTGCTTTCTTTTTAAAGTTGGCTGTTTGAAACTTACCTTTCACAGTGACTTTATGCTCACCAGTTCCAGGATGAGTAGAGATATCCACCTGTACAGATATCTCACCCACTGAATTATTAGCAGTTTGACCTGAAACAAGAATCACTGGTTAGCACAGCTGGCTTCTCAATGCATCCAGAGAAATAGACACCCAAAGGTGAGTGGTACTTTCCTTTAGAAACACTTCAAAATTTCTGATGTGTTTCACATTTCAGTGAGAATCAGTTACAGATTCATAAATGATTTTGCCACAAAAAACTGGATAATTGCAAATATCTGTGGAAAGTGCCTCAGTGAAATAAAAAAATCGTGTTCATCTGGAACTTTCCATTCTGGTTGTCACTAGACGTGTTTGCATCTCGAAATGCCAAAGTTGGTGGGTTTGTCAAGCTTTTCATGTACCTTCCACAAATCTTACTGCTAAATGTAGGTTTGGAAAGTTACTTCTATATCTCTATTGATGAATCTTTTGCTGAAGGTTTTGTCTCAACAAATTACTGCAGTTCTGCACTGGCACAGACAGAGGGGCTTAAAAATGAAAGAAGGTTGAGGGGATGGCAGGAGAACCAGGAGCTTATTTTTTAAAGTGTTTGCTTTTGAGAACCAGGGGAGGTTGCAAGTCAGTTTGTACAGAATGAATCTTTAAAAGGACTTTAAATATTGTCTTGAAATGTACCACAATATATCAGATTGTAACAGTAGAAGATAAATAAAACTGAGTATGTTTACTTGTTCTTTGATTGGATGACTGTGAATGTTGAATTCTGTGAACTGCACTTGCTCCCCAGTGTAATCTCCTGTGAACCACATAATAAAGTAAATTTCTACCCCTTTAAACTGGCTGCTATTTCTGTGGGTAGCAGAGAAAAGATTTTATATTCCTCTTATTTATACAAAAATTCCTTACTCATTGGTTCCTTATCCCTCTATACATGAGGAGAAGAAAACATTCCTTTAGAATTTTTCCAGCCCTTCATATAGGAATTAGGGAAGGGATACAGAGAAGAGAGAGGGGTATCTTGTGTAATAATAATGGGGAAAATGATTTTCCTCCTTAAATTAGTTTATAACTAGAGTAGTTTTTTCTCTTACCATGCAGTGTTTTCTTTCCTGGATTTCCTCACCAGTGGCTTTCTAGAAATGAGCTCTCCAGTGATGTTTATTCACCGCTTTGGCCTGATCTGTAATTATGTTCTCTACATGGCATGAGCATTGCAAGGTCAAATACTCTTACCCCAAGTGTTACTGCTTCAGAGAACAAGCCTTTTGTTACCTGATCTATCAAAATGTGGAGATTCAGTGATTATTTAACAGGCTCAGAATATTTAAACATTCTTGTGCATTTCCAAACTTTCAGGTAAGTTTGGCTTGGAATTGTTGTGAACGTATTTTTCAAACATAGCGATCGCAGGGTACTTGTACAAATTTTGCTGTTAGATGTATTTCATTATCAGTCAGAGGTTTGGACCACCACTACCATGTAAATAAGAAACTTATTAGACATCAATTTTTTAATGACAAGAGGTTTAGCTTCAGTGGCAGTAATTAAGTTTCTTGTATTTGGATGATTACTTAAAACTGTACTATATGGAAGCTCTGAGTTGGTGAATCATTCTATGGCTTGCTCACAATACATATCACATAATTTTTTGAAGAATTTAATAATATACCCCTGATTGCAGTGGAGGATGAGTTAAGCTGATCCTGAATATCACTGAAATGATCCGCTGGTGTAAATGATGTATTTTAGCCTCTAGCTTAAAAAAAAAACCCAACCCAAAACCCCAGGAAAGTTTTAAAAGAGGACAATTATCATTTTTATTTGATAGCCTTAAGAGCAGCCTGTGGATGGTGGTAGTAGTGAAGTGTGCAGTGTTAATCTCTAATAATGTCAGGTACGATTTCAACAGGACAAGAATCTACAAATATGTAAGATTAGACTTGTTCTCTTTCTTCAACTTTTTTATTAACTTATGCAGAATATATTCTTGCAAAGGTCTCCTAATAAGTGTCTCTTTCCTTCTCCTGGTAGTCCATAATTGACAACAGTGCTCCAAGCAGTACTGCAAATATATGAATAGTCTTGTATGTACAGTGCTGCTGCTTGATATGGTTATAAAGAAATCTGTGCAAAACATCATCCAGTTTTATACTAAAAGCAGTTGACATTGAAATGACCCTACATCCAGTATTGCTGAGAAAACCTCCTTTGCAGAACATCCCAGTGAGCACAGACAATTTCTAGTGGAGTCTAGAACATAAACTTGGTTTCTTTCAGTAATCACCCCATCCATCTTTCTCTTTCTAACCTGCTGAACAAACTAGAGATACAATTCCAGGACATTTAGTATTTGCTTACACCATCTCTTGCTGACATTCAAAGCTAGGGTGCTTAATTCTGAAGCCTCTGATCTGTCTAGTTCTGCTGTTTTGTTTTCTTTTATGCTACCACTTCTTGAATAGTCAAAGCAGGAATTAGTGATTCTGACTGCACTATAGAAAGGTCCATTTATCCTACTACATTTAATAAGCCAATTTAGCTGACAATAAATCTCTTCATGCACTGCAGAGGATGATTGCACTTTTCTTCCTTTAGTACTGTAATATAACTCATTTGAAGGCTAACAAACTCATAAATGATTCTGCCTCGTTTGAAAACCTTATGGATGTTTAATTATTACTGCTTGCTCTCTAATATCTGCTTTACATTTTATTTGTTGGTATATTTATACTATTCAAAATACAGCATCCTCTTACTGGTGGGTGGTTAAGTGATCACGTGCATTTAAAGTGCAGTCATTCTTTCACAGCAAATAAATGGTAAAGAATAAAAATATCTCCTCAAAGATGCTTGCTCCTCAGGGACTACAAAGGCCTAGAAGTCAGGCTTTTATCCCTCCTTATTCAGCACCTGGAATGATATCATATAACTGATGGATACCTGTAGTTTGTGTTTATTTTCTTGAAGACCTAGAGGAAACAGATACACAACTTTTTTCTAATTTAGGTGCTTTACTATTTCATTTAAGGAACAACCAGAAATTTTCAAATGTGAAAGCATCTTAAGTGAATATTTTTGTAAAGACCTTTTGCTTTACCAGTGGTCTGGTTTTAACTATATGTACTTTAAAAACAGTTATTTTCCTGCCACTATTCTGAGTGCATTTGCTTTGCTATCAGCATATGCTGGAGTACTTTTATTAGATGTAATTCAGCAAGTTTCTTCTTTGTTTGTTCTTATATTTTCTGTTTGTTGCTTGCAATAGTGTGCTGATTTCTTTAGCTTCCAATGCAGTTGGGTTTTTTTTTTTGGCATGAAATAAGGTTGTGTAACACATGGTTCTGACCTCAATTTGAAACTACAGTGGATGAAGCAGGGATTATTTCTTGAGTTAAATTCTGTCTGAAGTATGGGTTATGAGAGAACTGGAAATGCTCTGTAGGACTTAAATTTCCTGTTAGAATACAGGTATAGCTTTCAAAATATGACAGTTAATAATATAATGGTTTTGACAAGCAAAAGAAGAAAAGGTCTTTCTTTTTTGCTTATAAGAGCTGCTAAACAATTTAAGCAATTTTTATTTTCTATAGTATGATGTCACCTATCTGCTTGTTTAAACTATAGTTACTATCAGATTATTGTTTTAATGCAATTCCATTTATTTATGAAATATTGAGGTTATGCTTTTCTTTGTACAATTACAAGTTGCAATGGAAGACAGAACTGAATTGGGCTTGGCAATTGAAAATAATTTGTCTTCATTTTTGAATGTGTAACGTCCCTCCCTGTGTTGGTGACTTCACAAGAAAAGGATGGAGCTACTTTTAGAGATAAGCACATTTACCTAATGAAAGTGAGTATTATATTTTCTTGTTTTCAGGTACGTCTTGCCTTTTTAGCTTGCAGTTCTCTGGCATAAGAATGAAAAAATCTGAATCAGACCAGCGAAGCAAAGCCTTTTCTGCAGAGCCTTTTCTTATAAAAACACAGGTAGGGTTTGCAGTATGAGCTCTGTGTTGTGAGATGAGTATTGATTTTTCTGCTTAAGTGATACAAACTATTTAAGTCAAGACAAAAAATATAGTGCAGAATCCTGCCATTATGTATTTATTATTCTCTAACAACATTTGTGAACTGGAGCTGCTGTAAAATTTGTAAGAAAAAATATTTCCCTATGTCCAATAAATAACCATTTTACATGCAAGAGTGGTGTTTACTTTGGAAAAATTAGTGGCAATAAATGAGAGCTAATTCAGGAAACTCTATTTGAGACTATCTTTTTATGCAGTTTGCTAAAATTAAAATAATATTTGCTCAAATGTTATTAGTGTTAATGCTACACAAGTGTAAATAGTCACAGCACTGGCTATAGTTTATGAAATTACTGAAGATTCATGGCATTTGCTAAACTAAACCATAGCCATTTAATTTTGATTTGCTTTAAGTCATTTAAAAGGGGAAGGTACAACTTAAAAAGGTGACTGCTTCTCTCCTGTTTTCAGGAGTGACTTAAGAGAAGCTTCACCAGTACTGGTCTCAGCACAGACCAAGGGTAAGTCAAGTGTACCATGGAGTGGGACAGTTCATGCAATAGGCCAGCAGAAGTACAGTGAGAGTTTATCCTTCGGCTTTTGGAGGTCTGTCTTGATTGGGAAAATGTGGTTGAATTTAGCTCAAGTTAAAATGATCTTGTCCTGCCTGACCTGAAATTTGTCCAATTTGTCTAGAGCTCTTGTCAATGTACAAAATATGTGGTCTTTTGCAGAAGCCTTGGAGTGTTCTCTGAAATCCTGGGCTGGCTGCTGCCTGCCTTCAGCTGTGAACCAACCATGGGGTCCCAGCCCTACAGCACTGAACCCCCAAAAATTCCTGCAACTGAGCTGGGTTGTGCAGGTCAGGCTTGGCCCTTTGCTGCTGTTTTACAACTGATTCATGCTTGGCTCAAGCACACAAAGAATGGTTTAGTTACAAAAGCTTTTGAAAGCAATCCATACAATAATCTGAATGTATTCAAGAATGTTAACCTGTAACTGAATTGAGAGGAAACCCTTTTACAGCATGAGCTAATGTTTACTATTATTATTATTATTATTATTATTAGTGCACAAATAAAGTGACAATTTAGTCCAGAGTAAATAAAATCAATCTGAGATCTGCACCTCAGGTCTAATGGTGCACTGATGGCACATGATTCTCATCTGGCTTTGTTTTATGTGCTCTTTGCAAAGGTATCAGTGACCACCTAGTATGTTAAATACTGGTCACTAAGGCTTTGGAACGCAGTTCTCTTCACCAAACTGCCTTCAGATTTTGCAAAATCCTTTAGGTCAGTATCCATGTCCTTTTTAGAGACTCCAGCAGTGACCTGCTCCATGGAATGGTTCTTGGCAGAGGCAGCACTTGTGTATGATTGAATAAGAAAACTCATCCAGATGAATGTGCTTACAACAGGCACTGCAGAATCAGCTGAATCCTGTCTGGGTAATATTAAATGTGAAGTTCAGATAGGTGGAACTAAATTTCATTACTAGTTTGTAAATCATTCTATGTGTTGTTATAAAAAATTACCAAACAAACAATACTGATAATTTATTTGCAAAAGAAAATGTTGCTCTGCATGTTTTACACAGTGGTGGGTTGGGAATAGAACAGGACAAGTGCTTAGCAATTTTCTGGAAATGTTTATACAAAGGGGCAGTCAGAGATTATATCCCACTCACTATTCTATTGATACCAATGTTAAAATCTGTAGTGATCAGAGTTTCCACAGGATTTAATCTCCAAACAAACACATTGGAATTGTGTGGCAGATCTGGGATAACAGCTGAAGAGAAACCTCTCCCTCCTCCTCTGCCAAGCACAAAGGCAGGTATTTAATAAGCCATGTCACTGATAAAGCTAATCTAGTACCTGTATGTCTGTATCTCTACTTATCAGACAACATTTTTCTTTTATCCTTAATTTTCATAGTGTTGGTTAGAGATTTGTGTTCACAACACTGAGTGAGCATTAAATTTACAACTTTCATCAGCATAGAATGATTACAGCTGAAAAAGAACTTCAACCATGACAAATCATTATATGGAGAAAAATAAAATGAAAAACCTCAGTTACTGAAAAGGTTACTGCCAGATTATGCTCCTCATTGTCATTTACTTATTCCAAAACTTGTCTGTTTTGAAAATTCTTGAGAATCTATAGTGGTGCTTTGAAAAGAAAAATCATCAGAGTAAGATTACAGAAGTTAATTTAATTATTCTTGTTGTATAATAATTTGCTTTTAGAGCACATGACTGTAACAATGCAGTCTCATGATGCATTTGAAAAAGGCAGTAGGAATTGTGCTTTCAACTATTGAAACCACCACAGGGCAAACTATGAATCTCTGAGCCACCATTTTCAACGTTAGGAATGGTTTTATTATTATTATCTTACAAAAATTTCTATGTTGCCAAGATCTGTAAGAATACGTGGGCACAAAGGCTGGGAAACAAAACTCTGGTTCAAGAAAACATCCTTCTTTAGGAACTGTGTGGATCATAGTGCTGGATAATTTGGTTATTCCTACTGAATGTGATCCTGCACGAACACAGGGAATATCAAGGAACATAACACACTTTTACAGAGCCATTATCACAGAATCAGAGAATCATTGAAGTTACAAGAGACCTCCAAGATCATGAATTCCAACCTTGGCCTTTCTGTTTGTGTGTAGAGTTAACTCCCCCTTCTCATGCCAATCAGAAAAATTTTTGCTCTTCAGTTTCTTAGAATAACTTCAGCTTAGTCATGGTGAGTGACAAATTATCTTAACCTGGGGGTAAAAGTAACCTGGTAGTTGTCTGATTCTTGTGGTCATTACAGGCAAACCAAGCGTCCAATTCTATCTACAGTCATAGTTATTATACAATAGATACTTTCTTTACATTTAAAAAATTATTTTTTCTGTTGCTTTGAGCTTAAAATTATATCCAACTGTCTATTGATAATGGATTGGCAATGTGGAAAAGATAGGCCAGATATCTAATTATATTCCAGAGAAAATTTCTGATTTGCAAACAGAGTCATTTTAATTAAAAGTTAATAATACAGTTATAGCTGTGAGGCTGGAAATCATAATAGATGAGGATTTAGTTATTTTAAATGAGGCATTAAAGGATAATGAAAAGTTTTGAGTCGCTTTTCCTTAAGTTTCATTCCCAGTGGCTTCATTTCTAACAATACTGGTGTGCAAATATAGGAATAGTAATGTGTGCACAGAAATGAGCACAGACCTCAGGCTGAAATCATGATGAAAATAAGAAAATGTAATTTTGTGGCTGAGGATTTGTAAAAGATCACTTATGGCTACAACTTAACTATTTTTTTCCTCCTGAAGCTACAATGAAGGTATGTGTTAAAGAAAAGCAAAATAATCTTAGAAGTAACAATTTTCTGCTTGGATCCATATTGCTAATTCTTTCTTTTTGAGAGGGGGGAAAAAAGGACTCTCCTGCCTACATATAAGAGTTTTATAGCTATTTTTGCATTTTTAATATATGAGTTACTAAGAGAGATCTCAGTTTTAATATGGAAACAGCTTAGGAAATCATTCCTCAGAAATAGTCTTGGGACAAGCTGCAAAACTCATGTTTCATACTTTTTATACTGCGAGGAACATATAGTACTTGAGAAGTAAAAGCAATTTATTTCCAGCTTTACTGTCCAATTAAAACTTTCTGATTCTTATGAGCTGGAGCAGGGTAATTCATTATATCAGTAAATTGTATTCTTTCCCAAAGACATGAAGTGACAGGCAGATCATTTTTTACAAATGCTCATTACATTCAGAAGAAATCTAGTAAAGATTACTATGGTGCAGAAATGTTCAGTTTTCAGAATGAAGAAAACATTCAGCTTGGAACATGATGTGTGCAGTGCTCCTACAAAGAACCCTGGTGCTCAGTGTGCCCCTAGAGCTCAGGGGTTCTTCCTCCTGTGCAGTCACAAGTCCCCAAAGGAACTGCCCTCAGGTAAGCCCCAAAATCAGCATTAGAGAAGGGATAACATCAATAGCATCACATGGACAAATTTGTGTCAATAAACTCTAAAATACCACAGGGGGTAGAGAATGTAATCTGCAATCAACAATTTAGAACATAATAGGACGCATTTCTGTGTCCCTTACTGATCACTTACTCTGGGAAGTTTGTGTGGCTATAAACTTCTTTATCAGGGCGTCAGTGGTCTGTGTGTAAAGGCTGAGAGCATATTTGAGGGACTGCAGGTCTGGGCTCTTTTCCAGGAAATTCTTTTTCAGCCCACTTCCTCCAGCATGGAAGTATTGCTAAAATGAAAAACAAATATGGTTGTTCACAGGGGAAAAAAGGCCTCAGTTACAGACATACAACTCCAAGTAAAATTCTTAAATGAATGTTTGGAAGTAGCAACAGGAATGTCTACATTTATTATAGCTTCTGAGATAACTGTCATAATACAAAGCTTCTTTCCAAGGGTAAAAAAATTAAGCATAAAGGGAAGAAATATGCAAAATTTTGATTTTGGTCTTCATGATCTGAAGCATTGATTTGCCAAAACTGGAAAATATTTGAAGCATTCTTTTAGGTTGCAAAGAGTAGAATGAATTCTAATTCTTTAGCTAAAAAACCCGAAAACATCACAAACCCCTCTCAAATGAAGGCATGGTTTACAAGCCAGTGCTTGTATAATATACAGGATATATTACTTTTTAGGGAAATGGGAACTTCGTAAAAAATTTCAGAGAGAATACTCCAGAGAGTGAAGTTTTACAGTAGCGGTGTGAGAAGAGGACTTCTGGTTCTACGGGCAGAGCTAGATTTGGAAAAACAAATATGCTTATGACTTTGATGCCATGCTGACTATGTGAACTATATAGATAAAAACAATCTATATAAATGTATTATATTATGTGTTCAATCCCAAAGCTGAGTTCAGAAAAATCAGGGGACAGATTCTTCTCTTTTTCCTCCCACAAAGAAGAATTTTTCCTCAAGTTTTGTACAGGACAGTGTTTGATGAATTAATACATGTTAGCCACAATGAAAAGATAAATGTGCTACAATACCTTCATTCTGTTCAAACACCTTGCAAAGCATTTGCAACCTCCATTACAGTTCTAAGTCTCAAGATCAATAAAGCTCCCATTAATGGCTAATTAGTAAAAATAAACAGTGTTTTTCAGGAACAGAATGACTGCTTCATGAGATGCAACATTGGTCCACTGCGTACAGGGAATCTTGGGGACTGTAAGCAGAATTTACTCTCCCTGCCTTTTTGCAGTGTTGCCAAAGGAATAAATGCAATATCTACATTCCAGTTCACATACACACATCTCCAGTAAATGCTGTATCCCAGCTTATCTGGACAGCTCAGACCTACAGTCCACATATGCCCTTTGCATTTAGTGCACACATTTAATCTTCCAGTTCTCAAGATTCTGCAGGAGATGAAACATAAATTTTTCATAACAATTATTTACATTACTGTATTGCTGTCTACTGACTGTTAAAGGGAAAAAAATAACGGTAGGAGCAAAACTGGGGATTTGAAGTTATCAGGCAGCAACATTTTATATTGTTTTAATACTATGGGGACAGTTAGGGTCAGTTTAAAAGGTTCTGAATAAATCTATCTTTCCAAGCAAATTATTTTATACAATATGTTCCAAAAAACTCTCATCTTAATTGCTCAAGAGTTTTGTCATGATTTCACTAAGAATCATAATCAATTTATAAGCAAGAGTTAAATTTTGTTAATATTTCCTGCTATTGTGACAATTACTGTGATTTTTTTTGAAGTTGTCTCTCCCAGTAAAATGTTATCTGCAGCAGCAGCTGCACATGGCTGAAAGTTCCATGAAAGCTAATAGTCACAGAAAGAAATGAAGACCCTTGTTTTCCTGAGTTTTAAACTTTTTTTTTTGTTTTTCCCATAAATGGTAAAATTTGCAAGCGAGCCAGCAATGTGAACCTATCATTAATGTATGGAACTGAATATAGAAAAATAACGAGGATTTTACAGATTCAGCTGGATCAGTTATTGCCCAGTTCCTTAGAGATGGAAAACTTAAAATAATTCCCCTGCTGCTCTTGCTCCTCGCTGTAGGTTTGTAGGTGGCACAAGAGATTTCCAAGTCACACTGACAAATGAAAGGGGCAGATGTCAAGCGCTGCAGTGTCAGCCCAAAGCTGCCAAATGCCACCCAAGCCCCTTTGGGTGCTGCCTTCTCTTTGTAGAGGGTCTCTGGGTGTACCGAGAACTGGGACAGCATTATCAATGGACATTGTCTCTGGGCTGACATAATGAGGTAGCAGAGAACTCAGTCTGAGCTAACTGAGGCCAGAAAGCCACTTCTCCTAACTGTAAATTGCAAATTAAGCTGAAAAGTATTAAATAGTTATATAAATTGCTATGGTTCTTTTTACATAATACAAAGATTGATGATATGCGATGTATATTCTAGATTAATAAATATTACTTTAATTTATATTTGTCAAAGGATTAATAACACTATCCACTATTAAATTATGATTGATTCTCAGTGAATTAAATGAAAGGAAAAGTAAAAAAGACTATAAGTGGAGATACTCCTCCCTGCAAAAACCTTCGTTACCTAATCAGCTACCCAGTTTCTGAACACACACCACAAGCCATTTTTACAATTCTCCTCTTCTTATCTGGGCAGCCATGGTATTTTTGCTTTTAAATAAGCTGTATTTACTAAGCATTAGAAAAAAAAAATCAGTATTTTGATCATTAAACATAGCAACTACATTCCTAAATAAACTTAGCAGCCCTTTTTCTTGAGTTAACTCATAAAGTTTGCCTTTTTTTACTTTCTACCAGAATAAGCCAAATTTCTGCATGATCAAGGTTATTTGTTAAGTATTTTGGAAATGATTTTGCCATATCAGCTCGTAAATACATCAGGCAGTTATAATGCACACAGTCATTGCCTTACAATTTGAAAATGGTTTCTCAGGAAGCTTTCTTTAGCTCACTTAATGAATGCTATGAATTAACTATTATAACTTAGCACACAGATATAAGGATCCTGAATTAACAAAGGGATTTTCCCTATTTAATATTTTCCCTCCAAATCTAGACATTTTGAGTAAAATGGTCAACACCTATCTCTCCATCTGTAAGAGTTTAAGCACTGGAAATTTAAGCAATGTTAGAGTTTACATTTTCCCCAGCTTTTATGAGTTTAGAAAATAATTAGATTCACATACTTTACTTCATGCAGCTTACTTTGGGAACATCCATTTTTCAATTTGTTCAATTTGCTTCCACAACATTATTAATTCCCAATTATTTTTATTTCTGCAAGAAATGTCAAATCACGTTTGTAATTAATTGTCTCCACTACAAATACAAAAAATGGCAATTGGGAGCTCCCTCTGTTACTTTTTGCTTGCCTTAGAGACTGTTTTATTGCAAAACACTTGATCATAAGTATTTTCTCTTACTTATATCTTCAATTTTATACTTCAGTAGCTGCCTTCTTACTTTCCTGATGTGCTGTCCCTTCCCAGCAGACAGGAAAATACGCTCTTATTCTAGAAACTGATTGCTTTAGAGTTATTTACACCAACTACTGATCCAGGCAAATGTGAAAAAGACTGATAAGCAAATTAAATAATACATTAACTAATAATATAATAAATATTCCTAATGATTTCTTCTGACTTCAGAAACCAACTCCATGAAGAGTGTATGGAAGTCTCCAGCCTTTTATCTAAAAACCAATCAGTGATTGCTGGGCATTGCAGCCCAGAGCAGGAAAGACCTGAAGCTGTACCTTGATGGTAACGAGGGCCACGTCCATTATTGCACACTGCCTCAGGGTCAGGCTTTTGGCTTCCTCGCGGATCACGTGGTCCTGCCAGCGAGACAAGAGCGCACTTGGTTTCACAGAGACAATATTGTGAGTATCTGTTCTTTGCAAAACAAACAAACACCCATCAAATGCCCCCCAAGGACTATGATTAACAGGGATTAATTCAGAATCCTTTCACAACAAATTATAACCTAGAGCAATTGTGTTGTTTCCTGAAATCATAGACTGCAGAGAACCAGATTCACTGGTTAATACTGAGCATTACTTCTTTTACTAGGATGCATTATTTCTCTGTTTTGGGGGATAGGGGAAAGGTTAAAATTTAACTTAAAATAATGAAATTGGATGATATAGAAGTAATTAATTTTAATAATAAACATGACAGTTTATTAACAAATGGATGTTTGTTAATGCCCTATGTTTAAAAAAAAGAAGGATTCCTATTACAACATGTTAGACGTAGAGTGACTACACTCCTGTTAAATCTGCCTAAATAAGCAGTCAGTGATTTATTTAGGTAATATTTTAAGTCCTCTATCAAACTGCACAGTCATTCATAGAGGCCCCAAATACCACATACAGATTTTTTTATACAGATTTTCTGTATAAATCTGAAATCCTAATTCAGCATTGACTGGCAAACAACTGACATCACTCTCAAACATCTCTGCTGTCCATCAAGTGGACTCCAGTGCTGAAGACTTTACTGCAGAGGTACATACTATGTTTCAATGCACGCAAATAGTCCACAGAAAGAAAACTGCTGGTATTCTCACCTTAAGGGCTTTTCCAGAACTGGTTACAGAAAGAAACAAAGGTACCCCTCTGGTACCCCTCTTTTTTTTTTTTTTTTTTTTTTTTTTTTTTTATGTGCAGTGCTTGTAACACTTGGTTGTGCAATAAGGGACTGATGGCTTCTTGACCCATGCAGTGATCACTTACCATATAAGCATAGAATCTTCTAATCATAACTTGGTTTTGATGAAACTGTACAATAATTATTCACCTCTGAGTAGTTACTGTCATATTTAATCTCATTATACTACATAAGAACAAGTAGGAGCATGAGGTTTAGGCTCACAGTCATCAAAATTTCCTCCTTTTTCTGTTAGTGCAAGCCAGTCACAACTTCATCTGGCTCCATTACCTTGAGTTTTGACAGTTGTCCAAGATCTTTGGCTGCACTGAATATCATCTGGGGCCCCTGTAATCACATTGAAAATTAAGGAAACAGGCTCACGACAGCATGTTTGCTTTTTATGTCAACACAATCTTATTTTCTGCTAGGATATTGGCCAAAGTCATCGTTTTGCAAAGCTAAATAAAAGTTTCAGTTGCACAGGAGACACATTTTCATTCAGTTCATAAGGCCAAGTGCTTGACTGCCTGCAGCAAGATTCCCTCCAGTATTCTATAGCTGATACAAATATTGCACTTTCTGCTGAGAGTGGTTTTGTGTTCTCCTTTCTGCTGTCTCATTTTGTGTTTAATACTGAAAGCTAAGGCTGTGATTGTTCTCAGTGTGTGTCAGTGAGATATTTGTCCATAACTGCAGCTCTCAGGTGCTGGGCTAACATGAACAATCATGCTGGGAAGTGAGCAGCCCTGAGGAACCTGCAAAAGCCTGTGTAGGGGGAATCCTCAGCTGAGTAAACCACAGCACAACGGTGTACTGTGAGCCAGAGCCCTTTTTTAAAGAAAAGATATTGAAATGTTATGAAGTTAAAGCAATATTTTACAATAGCCAAATCCTGGCATGACACCAAAGGCCAATGCCTACACATTTGTCTCAGAGAAACAGAATCCTACTTTAATTCCATGCTCACATCCTTTATCACAATTACTCCAGGCAACATAACTACCAGTGCAGTTACATAGCAGCTCAGGAAGACATAGTTCTGATGATGTGGATTTCATAAAAACAGGTTCATCCAACTTACCCTGGACTAATTTTTCGTTAGACTTTCTGTTCCAAAGAGTTTCATTTTCCAAAAATAATTTTGCTTTCTATATGCTTCAATTGGAGAAAATGTAATATAGAACTACAGTTTAAATCTTCATTATTTTTTAGTAGCGAGAAAGGTAAGATAAATACGTATATATATATATATACACATTTGTGAAAAATTAAACCCTGTTTCTGAATGCCTGTTCCTCTCAAGCTCAAACAGAAGGAAATATTCAGAGCTAGAAAATCTCTCACAGTATCCTACTTTTCAGTGATTTTCTTTAATTATGTATTCAGTAGTAAACAAAAGTGTCAAAATAAATTGAATAGTTCACAATGCCTACCAGAAACACTCTATATAGAGGGTACCACTAAGGAAAGTCCCCTCTGAATGTATTGTGCTATGAATAATTGATCCTGCATAAAGCTAATAAATGCTCCTAACACATGATGGAAAATGCAGTTACCCAACTGAAATGCAATCCATGTATTGACAGATATTTGCAACAAAAAATCTGAAAAGCAAATGAAAGATGTCACAAATGTAAATTTGAAACTTATTGAAAGAGAGGTTGTTTTTAATTATGTATAGTTAACAAGAACAGTACATGTGAACAAATTCAGTGACTGGAGTCCTGGCCATGATCAGCTCTACTCTAGCATTTTTAATATTTCAGGTAATTTCATTTTTATCTCTGCACCATTTATACATTTTCTATTAGAGCTTTTTCCTGCCTGTACAGCAATATTGTTTCATGCATCTTCAATATATTATAGTAAGATTTAATGATATGCCTTTAACTTATGCACGCTGACCAACAGGTTTTTAGCAGCTGAAGTGGTACCATAGGATGTGCAACAGCGAAGTTGCCAAACGCACACTGGCAACATCACAATTAACTTGCCCTAAGATGGTCAATTTATTTTAAACAAGATTGAATAAAAGAAGAATTAACAGTTATGTTATCCCAATCTCTCTCAAAAAAAAGCAATTATGAAAGGGTCCCCAGGCCAGGCTCTCTGTGGTGATCCTTTGCCAGGAGGATTTCACTGTTGCCCTGATGTGATTTCACATCAGGCCATGCCCCATAAGAGGCTCGTGTGCAGCACCACTTTCTGTGAGGACAGCTCCCTTCCCTCTTCTCAGCAGGCTGGAAATGCAGCTCTGCCCAAAGAGGACCTCCTGTCAAGGCTGCTATTAAAATCCCCCAAATCTTTAGTGCTATATTTGGCTGAAGCTTCCTGATGTTAATTAAGTGCTGCCTCAAGATGAGAAATGGCACAGCAGGCAGGGCTGGAGGATGGGATGGGGCATCCCTGGCTTTCCCAAACCTACAAAAATGGAAGTGATTGAATTTGTGATGTGACTAGGAAGGGCAAGGAACACTCTTCATGTTCCTGTGCACAGTGAAGCTGAGAGAGAAATCAGATTTAAATGAAACCCCTTTATGAGAGCACATGACTGCATTCATAAAAACTGCTCTGATTTGGATGAGGCAGTAAATGAAGGAGTGAAGTCTTCCTCACCAGCTAAGAGCAAGCTGGCTGCATGACTCTGAGAGGAACGCTTCCTGCAATGCAGGTGTTACTCCCTGTGGTCAGGGTACAGAACAGGACAGTGTCAGACCCTTGGCACCACCTGCTCAGGCACGTTATTACAGTCCTTTGTATCAACTGAGAATTGCTCTGGAACACTTACGGTTTGGTCTGTCAGTGGTGGAAGCACAATCTGTTTCTCTATTTTGTTTAAGACTAACTTCCAGAGCTCTTTCAAAACCCGTTTCAGAACAGTCTTCTCACAGATTTTTGCAGAGACACTTAAACTGGAATAAAACAGAACCACAAAACAGTCACCAAAACCAGCATTATGGCTTCAGAGGTGTTCTATCATGCTAAGATTAATGGCCATTAAGGTTTATCTTTTCTCTAGTAATAAAAATTTCTTAATAGCTAAATTATTTTGCTATTTCATCAGTAAATATTTTTGGCAAAAACACTTGCAGATTACAAACTTAAATAAATCTTCTCCATCTAATTTAATGCTTAGTATATCACTGATGCGTATTTATTGAAAATGCAAAAACATGATGAGTTAAAAGTTTGATGGATGATACAATTTAGCACTCCCACGCCCCTAAATTAAAGTTTTAGTATATAATTTGTTTATGTCTTAAAAATAAAGAGCAACTGTCTCTCTTACTTTGCATTTCTACTGGGATGTAGAACTGGTTGCTGACAGCTAATGCAAATTCGCAGCTACTGTTTGGAAACATTTATTTCTATATACTGACATGTCTGAGCAGTCTTGCTATCTATTACTTACAGTAAAATTAAATTTTTAGGGTACCTTTTGCATCTTTGAAAATTTCTGGCTGGGGAAAACCTGCCTAAGGAGCCAAAGGGGTGTGTAACTTGTGACTGGAGACCTCGAGTACAGGGTCAGTGCCAGGCTGCTTGTCCTCACAGCCACTTCCATCAAAAGGCCACTGGTGTTTGACAAGCAGCAAGGACACCAATGTGCTTACAGATCCTGCTGCACATGGCCTTTCAGAATGTGTCATTGCTGAATGATGACAGCATAAGTTATGCTTACTTACAGAAGCAAGAATGAGTTTGCAGGCTCCTCTCAAAACTTAGCATTTTACCAAATGAAAAAAAAAATCAAGCTGCTGTTTAGATGATGACCTGTTTTTGGTGACACAGAAGTGCATATCAATAAGGAGTGTGACACTGGGCACAAGTCTAAAACAAATGCCAGACAATTCAGTGTAGGAATTACTTTTGTTTTTTTTTTCAGCACAGTCTTCATAACACAGCCTGTGGAGGAGAGACCGTGCACTGGCTCATTTTCAATGACTCAAAACATGACAAGACATGGAAAGACAAGCCTGGAGCTTATGTAAAAATTGCTCAGTGTAAGTAAACAGGTTAGGCATGGGATTCTGCACACAGTGAATACTAGAAATATTAAAAATACTACAGAGTGCTTCCAGGTACCAACAGTGTTTCAGAGTAAAACCAAATGTGCCTGACTGCAGCATCCAGTTCCCAACCTGCCACACTCACGTTGTGTCCAGGGAATCCATGAGAGGCCGAAGCACAATCTCAGCATCAATGGCTGCACTGTTCTTATTGGCTGCTGCATTCCCATTTCCTCTCATTTGATTCAGTTCATTGCTCATTTGTCTTACACAATCTTCAATAACAAATTGGAAACTACAGGATGAGAATAAAAAGGAGAATGAAAGAATTCTGGGAAAGAAAACAATAATGATGATTTAGCATCAGGTTCCTCAACAAGACTTAAATATTTTCTGCAATGATGCAATGTTCAAAATTGAAGATACTGTTGTGTTACCTTCAGAAAATAAGTTCTATTGAGGATCATAGCTCATATAAATAATTCATGCCATGTTTTGATCTTTTCCCTGCCTTCAATTCAGCCACAATTTTCATAGCCTTGTAGATGTGCCAAATATTTATTTTCTGAAAGCAACAGATGTATCAGAATCTATAGGTTAGATGTAATTGACTGCCAGCTAGGAACAACTTCTCAAGATTTTATTTTTGGTGTGAAAGGATGATACAAACAGGTGATGATAAATAATTTTTCTCTTGATAGTTAATAGCAACCAAGCTTTGATAATCTTCTTGAGGTAAAATCAAAAACTCCTACTGATTCTGCCCTATTTGGCTCAATTTGACTTTTTCCAGATTTCACACAGTCAGTGCCTTCAGAAGGATTGTTACTTCTTTGCAACTACACAGCATTAAAACACTTGGACTGTTTAAAATATCCTTTTGCAAAGAACCCCCTTGCTTTGAAGCACTCAGACTCTTCCTCCTGGGAGGAATCTTTTTCACTTCAAGGTGACTGTGAACACATTCTTCCTCCTCAAGTTTGTATCTGCTCAGCTTTTCTGAAAACTGTTCTGTTTCCTAACTGATCTGGTTGAGTGTCTGACAGTCTTAAAGTGCTCTTGATGTGATAATCTTTGGACAACATATTGACACAAAGCAGAACAGCACTTAATCAGTCACCAGCTCAGAGGCAGGAAGAGTCTCTGCACACACAGTAATTTGGTTTATGGGTTGATTTGTGATGGATTGAAATGGTTTAGGATTAGTTTATGAACAGAAATGCAAAACAGAGGCCAAAAATATATGGGGCCTGTTGAGCTGAAAAGATAAATGGCAAAGGTTAACTTGAGGAAAGTGGAAGAGAATTTACTGTGAGAGAAAAGAAACAATCTGTTGTTCAGTGACATGGCTAATTGTAAAAAGAGATCACAAACCTCCATGTGAAATCACTGGAAAAATCAGAAACTTTTCAAAATGCACTTGGAAGTACACTACTTACCTACACATTTAAAGCCCTAGATAAAATCAACCCCAGGCAGCTAGAGAAACTGCTCATGGAAATTCTTGGGACCAGTCCCTCCAACAAAAGCCAAAATAATGCATTGCCTTTCTTGACGTTAGACATCTTTCCAACATTGTTAACCTCACAGACCCAAGCAGTAAACTGACCCATAAGGAATGTCCTAGCTATCTGGAGCATATCCTACACTGAGCTATTCTGGGTTTGCTGTTGCAGAAACCTAGTTGGCTCATTCAGAAAGAAGCCCTGGAAAGAAATAATATTCATGCACTGTCAATGATCCGAGAAGCAGAGCCTGGGAGCAAAAGTACAGCAAAACAATACAGCAAAGTAAGCACACAGAAAAAAGCAGACTGTCCACCCAGACTGCCCATCAATGGCTTGAATAAGCAACTACAGACTTGGCTTAATGAGCACCACTACAGCACTAATCCCTCTTTCTTAGATTTCTTTCTAATTTGAAGCAAAAGTAGCTTGCTACTTATACCACAAGCACTGCTGGCATAGCACCATACACATTCAGGACTGCAGTGTGCACTCTGATTAATGGAAGGTTTTGAGAGTAAGGCTCAGTAGACAAGTTTTGAAGAGCCACAGGCAAGCAAATGACCCAAGAAGGCCATACACAATGACCACTTGAAGCAGGCTAAACACAGGCAGACATCCCTGGTTGAAGCAGGCCACTTGGAAAAAGCTGTCAGTCTCAGGAAGTAATATAAACATGGTCAAAGAGGAAAGTTTAACATAGCATTAAGCAAAAAAACCCCAACTGACTTTGCTTCCCAAAGAGCAGAACAAAAGCCTTCAGCCTCACCTCTGTAACACATTCATGCCCACAGATGATGTTCAGTTGTCTTTACAGTGAGGTTGCTTTTATTTGTTTCGGAGTCTAAACACATACACACACAAACTGACACCACTCCATCAGGGCAGAAGCAAGCCATGCCTCAGGGCATCCAAATAACCATCCAGACTTCATCAACGAGGGAGATTTTTGAGCAGGACTATCCCTCTAAGGTTTGCAGTAAAATGAGTTTGTTACCTTGCAGCATACGTTACACTGAGTTCATCCAATACACTGCTAAGTTTCACCTGAAGTTCTTTGAGAACAACACTAGCTTCAGGATCCAGCTGCAAAGAGATAAATAACATTATATTTTATTTATACACTAGGTTTCTGGGGTTTCCATTACCATCAATGAATTAGCAATTATGTGCTTTCTGTAAGAGCAAGCTGGCTGCATGACTCTGAGACACCAGAGTGCAGAGATACACTGCACTACAGAAAACCAAATGTGGAAACATCTGTCGTGAAACTGAATTGCTTTCGTAATAATTTTGAAATACAATTGCCATTAAAAAAATGAAAAAAACCTTTCATTACAGCAGGGAATATTTATATTAGAAATCAAAACTGTGCCACTGAAAAATGACTTTCTGTGGGACTGTGGAAACTGCGTTGGCAGTCACAAAGAAGAGAACTACCATTACCTGGCCAGTGGTATTCAACAAGGCACACCAAGAGAAGGATGCAGGAAAAGTCAGTGCTTGTGTTAATAGTAATGCAGATGCCTTCATATTTTTATTATTTTTTTGTACATTTCACTATTGTTGGTATTTTGTCTGGTGATTTGCATTGAAGTTGTTTCCATATTTCATATGTTTCCATAATGCAGTGTAAAATTAGAACAGTCAGCACTGAAAAAGATGGCTTGAAGAATATCCATGCCAATTCTACTGACAGAGGATGTGGGAAGGGACTCTACCAAATTTCAGTACTGCTGTTTCTAAAAGCCATTAGGGCAAACAAAATTCAAGCACAGAGCAACACATTCTGATACTCTGATACAGGGTTTCTGAACATAGGGAAGAAGTTAATGCAGGGGAGAAATATATTTTTACATTTACAGGGATGAGAAAACATGCATAGATATTTAATCAAAAAGGTACCCTATTGATATTGATCAGCAAACTTTTTTATTTGCTATGGATTCTTTTTCAAGTAAAAAATAATATTTTTTTTTATCTCCCTGAACTTTAGCACTCAGAAAAAATAATTACAGCCCATTCTGGGATATGATAGATGATCATCAGGATCAACAGCTGAATGTGAATTAATTGCTGATGTTCCAGGTCTTTCAGCTGCATACATCACAGTGTTCAGGAATGATTTCCAATGATATCCCTTAATTTGTGGACTCTGTTCTGCAGCAAGGTCAGGTACAGACCTTCTTGCAATTTCAAAGGACATTGCACATTTAGAATACATAATCAGGGCTGATTCTATTTTCTGTCTTTCAACTGCATGAGTAGTGTTTGGTGCTAATTTTTCCTCTGGTGCTTCAGAGCACTGTGGTACAGCAGGTCAGTTCTTCCAATCACACTTCAGAGAAAAGGGGAAGTTGTTGCAGCACACTGGGTAATTTACTTGAGACTACACAGGAATTCTACAGCAAACCAAACCGAAATAGATCCAATGATCTATGGCATTTTAATCTCAGACCATCCTTTATATCCTCAGAGGTTATGTGTGGGTTAAAATAAAAGAAAATCTGAGATTTTCACTACAGGTTTTGACAAGAACCTGAAATAGGTGGCAAGGGGGAATTACCACACATCCTTTAGAAGATACTTGGTGTCATGTAGTTCTCTTCTAATCTGAGAAGCTCATACTTTACTTATTACTGTAAGTACTTACTGTGACTACTTACTGATTTAGTTTTGAATTACTTTGCATTGAGAAAACTTCTGTAGCTTCTGTATATCTTAGTAGAGTCCCTGGCAGATACACTTTGACAATTCATACACTTAAATGATTGCTTTCCTTCATATGAAGAGCAGGAATTAAAAAGCCAATTTTACTGCAATGTCTATACCAGTAAACAAATTAAGACTTTGCTATCAAAGGCAATGATTTTTCCAGAAAATGGATTTCAATAGGGAATCATACTGTTTCCTTTGGAGGGATACACACCAACCCCAAATTTAAGACCACTAGAATATAGACATTTAACAAACACTGAACATACAAGCATTCACATTGAACATGATACATGTCAAGGAAAACAAAATACCAGGCAAGCAGAAGACTCAAAAAATTTTTTAGCAGATCATGCACAAACCAGAGAATCACCTTATAACCGGGCCTATAGAGGTCAATGTAGGTACTTTCTATCAGAGGTTGTGGTTATAACCAGAAAACACAATGTATCTGCTAAATTCACCTGGAATTGAACTTAGTCCAGCCAAAATTGGACTGAATGCTAACGCCAGATTGTGGATATTACACACATTATAGAAGGGTGCATGCAACTGTTAAAGATTTTAGAGGCTTTGTGCTCACAAATTGCATGAACAAGTTTGTGTGTGCACAGCTGGAGGCATCTGGCAGGCCCCACATGCTCATGCCCGTGGATGAGGTGGCACGGGGAGGAGTGCTGTGACACAAAGAGGTATGCGGGCTGCCCGGGCAGGTGTGCCACACCTGGCCATGCTGGCATCACTGGCAAGATGCCAGCAAGAGTTTGAATTGCTGCTTCTCTCTAGGTACTGGAAAATATGGTGATTTGGGTGTCTCACCAGAACTAAAATGTGCACTTTTCATTTTCTTAATCATGTGCCTTCTGTGTGCTAATGATTGTCCTCAGGCATCATCCAAATGTGCCAGAGCATGACCTCTTCTTTTTCCTGATATGGCAGAGCTAAGATGGAAGCATGGATGTGAGAGGCAATGCTGATCAGCACCTGAGATGATGTCAGACAGGGAGATACAGACATGAAAATGAAGTATTTATGGTATTGGGGACATCTCTTTTTCTCTTCAGGTCTCATTTGCTTCATAGAGTTTGGTGAAGAAGGAATGAAATCTAACAAACTTCCCTGAACATATTTCAGGAAAATAAAAAGAAAAGGCTTTACTTGAGCCTGATTATTTGTGGAAGAAAAAACAACAAACCAACAGTAAATCTCAGCTATGAGTATCATTAGTGTACCATATCCAATTTAAAAACAAAAGAGAAAAGACAACACATTTATCCCTTGGACAATTGTATTCTGGATTCCATTTACAGTTCCCAGCATGTGTGGAGTAGCTTTAAAATACGTTGGGGTAGGTTGCTCAGGTTTCAAAATTGGATTTTTTAAAGAAGCAAGCTTATTTAATTAATAATGTGTAAATCATTCTTTTTAATAAATTCTTAATATTCTTGGCTTTTTGAGGCTCATATTTCTGTTATTTTAACATGTTCTTAAATAGCAGAATTTTTACCCACAAGGAAATATACTCATTATTTTGTTGGCACATCTATTGATTATGCATTATCAAGAGATTATTAGAAATTTGACTTTTTCTGAATGCTACACAAAAACTGACAACACATTTTCTGAACAGCTGAAAAAAGAAGAAATAGTTGAACATCATGATTTCCAAATTCTACCTGTCTAAAACTGTGAAATCCTTTATACAGACAAGCCTTGGAAAAGAGTTAAAAATCTGTTAGATTGAGGTATTTCCTGCTGTAATTTAATGTGTGCTAGTATGGACATAATCTTGTTAACTGCAAATTTGGTGGTGTTTCTGCAGCAAACTACAGAGATGTAAATTACTTTTGCATGAGTTAAATGGAATCTCTCTAATCTGAATCCCATTTATCTGCAATTTCCCAGGTCTAATTACTTATAGTTTCCTAATGGGACCACCTGGTTACTTCTGTTCAGAAAATAGTTTTACATATTTTCTGTATATCTGGTGACGATACAGCAAAGGTATTTAACAGCTCCATCACTTTAGGGGTTCTTTCTGTCTCTGACAGACATTTCCCCTCCTCCACCCACAGCCTAGGGACAGTGAGATGTGAGATGTTTGGCTGCCACTGCTCTGAGTGCACTGGAGAGCACCTGGGCCGCTGTACAAGATGTAAAGGTGGACACTTCAGAACAATTCTGCTGAAGTCTGGTCCTCTGCCACCCCATCAGATCTTTAAGGCCACATATAGATTCCTACAGGGATTCCTAAGGTTTATATGTAAAGCTGGAACTGAATTTACTGAAGTGAGAATATGATTTATCTACAGTTAACATAATACTGTCATACATAAACAACCTCCTTTTGCTTTACACCTTTTTTTTATCCTAATTACTATAACTCATTTCTGCCATGTTCTGTCATCTGGTGTAAAGCAACACAAGCATTGGCTTCTCTTCTTTCTCTTTTATCAGCTTCCAGCTTGTCAGACATGAAAAAATATTTAGTGCAAATATATGCATTTCTTTTGGATGAAACAAACAGGAGCTAAACCAAAATTCTATGATGATGATCTGTTCCCATGTTTTTGGACCTGATTTACAAAAATCCAAACAAACAGTGGATTGGATGCACTTTACTACTCTTATGGCAGACTGTTCTCATTGATATGATTTGTAAGTACCCTCCCTGCTTTGCTGCAGCAGAGAAGGACAGTTAATAAAGAAGCTCATTTTGTTCAGACTATTTTATTTTAATGGTGGGGGATCTGAGAAACCAGTTTTTTCTCTATTTATAGAGTTCCCTGCCTGCAATGTGCAATAAGCCTACTCTGAACAGAGGGACTGCTGCTTGATTGTGGTTATTTTGACGGCACACTTTGAAAGACATACTGCTCACAGTGTGACACTGAGGAGATTAACAGCATTTAATTTTTCTTAGAATTAGTTTTGCTTCTACTGAAATAGGTCTCATTATTTTGCTGAAAATCATCTGACTTTTATGCCCTCCACAAGTGAAATATTAAACTGTTTTTTCCCTTCAAGGAAACTGCATACAGATTTTACTGCTGGCTTTGTTTCTTTAAATACCAGTTCAATAAGCCAAATTGGCCATTAGCAGTTGTGCCTCTGAAATAGTGAGGGGAATAAGTATTCAAAGTGGAGGACAAACATTTTAGTGGCATCTTGATATAGGTGAAAAAAAAAAGAATATGAATGTGCTTTCTTCAAGAAATTGCCTTAGAAGTCTGAATGTATTTTTAGGATCTTTTGTCTTAGATTGTGAATCAGAGACAGACTTAAGACACCTAGTGAAAGGATTATAGGAAATATATCCAAATTGTCTCCGTGGGTTGCATGTCGCACCATATTTAGGTGCCTTTCCTATTTAGTAGGAAATTCTGCTTTGATACTGTAACAACCTTAATAATTCATCCTCATTAACATCAAAAGGAAACCAAAAAGGATGAGAAGTCATAAGAACTTTTGAAAGAAATTTGCTATGAAAAATTCCTATTTTTAAAAATATTATTATATAAGGCATTAGGAGCAAATGAAAAACTAATATTTTCCTGGGGAAAATGGGACATTTCTTGGGGAAAATGGGAATATTTCAAGCAAATATTCTGGTTGAAAATAATTTTATAGAAGTAGATATAAAATGTGACTCAGCTTTCCTTTGCCCTTGTCATTATCCTGATTTATAGTCATTTACGTGTTTTCATGAATCATGACATTAAAAATTAAGTTTGGATCCAAGACCTAATACAAAAGTACTTTGCACAGAATATAAAAGCTTGGAGGACATGATTACTTGTAATATTCAGAGAGGGAAAAGGGTATAATAGGAATCACAAAAACAGCCACTTCTGGATGATGAATATCTCTTTTCAAAGTTTGGTAGGAAATTTGCACTGACAAGGCTGCAGAAGTTTATTCCCTGTTATCTGGAGCAGCTTCAAGGAGCTGTTCCTGGCTCAGCAGAGCCTCCACACCCTGGAGTGACTCTGTGGGTGCCTCTGGAGACTTCAGTTCCTTGTGTGGCATAGGGGCCCCATCTCACCTCTGCAGGGTCCCACTGTGGATGTGGAAACATGAAATGCTGTGTTTTCCAGTTTTCTCCATATAGTGTGGCATCATTAGATCAAAGTTTTGGGAATCGATCAAGCTACAGCCTCAAGAAGAAAAAGGATGATATATGCATAACTTATTTTTTAAAGCCAGCTACTGATAAAATGGGCAGGATATTCATGTTCTAAACAATACTTCTCAACAAGTAGACAGGACTTTTTCTATGACTGTGAAGATATGTTAATTTCTTCATCATGTTTCAGAACAGTGAAAGATTACAGCCTGGAAGGTACTGAAGCACTGTCTATGTCCTTTTGCTGTTGGAAAAGGACTTCAGGCTCTTTTTAAATCTTCTGAAATGAAAAAGGGGGTAAAGCTGTGGATGTTTTGAACTGCTGAGTAACAGATTTTGGTGAAATGGTATCTTGAATACAAGCAGGCCCTCAGATACTGAAAAGTGCACTTAAAATGTTTCATAGATTTTTTAAAACTCTGAAAGTGGCTGCATAGTAAAACTTCAGTTTAGTGTCAACTGAATGCCCAAGCATAGCTCTTTTTGATTTTAGATCATAGGGAATTACACAGATGCATCAATGGAAATAAGTAGAAAATGTAACTGTTTTTAGCCTTAGAAAATATGGTCAGGAATAATAAAAGATGCTTACTATCACAAACCTCATAAGAGAATCTCTCTCCTTCTTTCTTCTGCTCAGTGGATTGCAAGTCAAAGGCATTAGACAAAGACAATGACACATTACAGACAAAACGTACCAATACATAAAAAGCAAAGTATAGTCCAATACAAACATTGAAATAAAGCTGGCACTACAGATTGCAACACAAAACACCCAGTGCTGATAAAACATTACAGATCATTAGCATGTGTCTGTGAAATAGTTATGTCATTCCAGCATTGTCAGGACAGTAAATAGGTCTTGTAGACTTTTTTAAAGCATTTTGATTTTCTTTGCAAGTAGAAGTGAAAGCTTTGACTAGGTTGCAAACATGGTGCTAATGATCTCTTAGGAGCTTTGAAAGAACCAGGAAACAGGTATGACTCACCTCCTTCCCTCCCATGGACTCAAACATTTTCTCAAGCTGGACTCTTAATTGCTGAATGTTGTTCATCAAGATACAGGCCTACAGAAAGAGATCAAATGTGAGACTGTGCACAACCAATTCTTCAGCAGCCCTACATTCATAGAATTATGGAAACATTAAGGTTGGAAAAGATTTCTAAGCCCACTTGCACTGATACAGCTGTTTTTCAGAGGAACTTCAGTCCACTGCTGCCTCTCCTTCCCCTTTAACTGACCCTTCTCTTTGCCTGCTCAGCCTGTCGCTGCCCACTAAGGGCACTGCTGCCCCACAGAGAACTGGATTCCATCTCCCCGTCACCTGGACAGGTTCCAGATCCCAGAATTTCACATCCTGTGCAATCCCAGGTAATTTCTAGTCATACCTAGTACAGTTGCATCTGGTGGATTAATGCAAGTAGCACATCATCATCCCATGGAGAGCAGAGGCAACAATGATCTCAGTGCTTTGGCAGGGACAGCAGGCTGCAGGAAAGGCGTTGCCACACTGCTTGCTAGCCCCAGTCTCTGCAGAAAACTGTGACAACACTGTAACCCAGCTAATGGCTGATGCTTAAGTATTTGAATAAATCAAGAGGCAGTTCTGTTAATAACAGAATGATATTTTAGAAATCTGCATTTTTGCATTACTTGAAAAGCTGATGAATAAACTAGGTAATAGAACTCTGTAATCATATTAGTTTAGTCTAGAAGTGTTGCTGTTTAAGCTAAATTTTTGAAGGCAGAACACTGTGCAAGAGGGCCACTGTGCAAAAGACAGCAATTTCTGTGTTCATATAAGGTTAAAAGCAAGACATTAATAAAAATAAGGAGCTAGCTATAAAAATAATGGAAGAAAGAATCTATTACTAGACTCTTGTGTACTTAGATAACTTTATATGATGGTTTGCTATGGTGCAGATGAAGTAATCAGACAATACTTACCAAAAGAATTGTAGCTGGCCAAGGCCAATGTGTTCTAGTGCGTGACTGCACTAATTCAGACACCGAGGAAATGCATTTCAATAAGACATGTATACTTTTTTCAGTCAACAAGATGGTGATGGAATTATTACAATGATTGATACTCATTTGTACCTTTCTAGTTAATAGCATGTTCCAATGCAGAGCTGAAGCATGATGGGCTCAATAACATGATTTAGCTTTAATTATTAATACATTACTCTCATAGGAATTTGGTGTCAGAGTCCTTCTCAACTGAAGAAGAAAAAGAAAAAAAGAGATTTGGTCTAACTTCTTACTACTTAGATTATTCCTTCCCAATGAAGCGTGCTGCTTCTCCTCCTACAGAATGCGGCTGGCTTTGTGTAGCTGAAATGTCACCTCTTTGCTCAGCTCTTGAAAAATCCACAAACGCCCCTTCTACTTGTTTGTCTACCTTCCATTAATTTACAATCACTAAGATTGTATCCTCCTTTCCTGTACTATCTCCTGACTTCTAACAAAGGAATTATTTTGGAAATTATCTGCAATATCACAAATCAGTAATTATGAGAATTATGATTTGTGATGGGGGTATAAGTAGCTGAATGTAACATCTTGTTCCTTTTATTCCAAACAAATGCAACTACCTTTGGCAATACACTGGAGCTATGAGAGAAGCATTTGACAGAAAAGCAGTTTCAAAGTTTGCTTTGAGGCTGGCTCAGGTGGCTCTTTCAGAGCCTAAGCCTACCTTGGCTCAATGAAAACTTTGCTGTTGTTGTCAGGTAAAGAACATTACTTAAAAACATTCTCATTGTATTTCATTATCTCCTACCCTTCAGAATAGCCTGTGCAGCAGTTTACAGGAATCAGACAGATGCAACAGGAAAAAGAGGATGGCAGGTACAATAGCATAACCCATATTTGTTTGTAAATGCTGACAGAAGGTGGAAGATAAGAGGCTGTTTATACATTAGATAAATACCTTTATGAAAAGCATCTTTGATATGCTTTTATTTGATTAGTTTATATGCACATTTTGTATAGTGTTTAGTTAGATTACTACAAGTATTAACTTGAAAAAGAATGCCAAATCTAATTTGAATAATAAAAAGTATTCATTTTAATCTCTTCTATTAACTTTATTGCAGAGGAACATTTATTGTAGCTGAAATTAACAGATCAAATAGATTTTATTAAGATAAAAGTATGTAAGGCAAATTCTGTTAAAAAAAGTTATGTCCATCAAAGGCATTTGATACAATACTTTATACCTGGTCTAATGGAAAGTGTCTCTGCTCACAGTAGAGGGGTGAAGGAGATGATCTTTAAGGTCCCTTCCAACCCAAGACACTATTTAATTCATAATGAGATTAATTTCATCTAAAGCCTTAATAAAGATAGGTATTTGAGAATGACTTCAGAAATTATTCACTCTAATAATTAAAACCTCCCACTGGATAGGCCAAAAGACTGCACAAACAGACTTGACTATTCAATGCTTTATTCGAACTCATTTCTTCATGAAAGCAGTGAGCTTTACTTAATATTACCATTAAATTCATAGGAACTCTCAATATTTGATATTTAGCTGCAGTAGATGTGTTTCTAAATCCTATTATTGTGTGTATGTTGGTGACCTGTAGACCATGACACTGGCCCTAACTATACAGAGCACTGGCAGATGTCATGGCCAGGATGTGACACAAGGACAAGATCTGAGACGGGCTGAGGGCTGTACCATTGCAGGTGAACAGTGTGAGGATGGGGCTGCAGTTATTGATCCAACTGCAGGCTGGTACAGCTGAACAAAACACTACCAAATACAACAGACATGCTGCTAAAAGTGTCTGCCATGGGAGAACTACCTTTGATTGAATATCAATAACATTGAAAAGCCAGTTCCCAAGAATACTTTTCCTTGGTCTTGTTAAAGTATTGAAAATGTTTCCATTTGCTCAACTACATCTTTAGTGTCCATTTCTGATTTATTTCTGAGTCCATGGCAATCTGGTCCTTCATTAGGGACTCCCTTGTAAGCAGTGAGGCAACAAACAGCACAATTTTCTCCTCCCCTCTGCAGGGCTAATGTACAGTGAGCAGCAGCAGCAGACACCCCTGCACACAGGGAATAGGGAGCTTAGAAACTCTCCAGTGCACAAACTGATACAGAGAGGCAATGCCAAGTGAAAACCCTAAACAAAGACCTTGACTTCTGTCTGAGAAACAAGATGAAGATACATTCACCATGTTCACCACAGTATTAGGCTGTTATCCACTGCACGTTTGTAGCCATGTTGTAATTGTTTTATAACTTTAATACTGAAATTATTAACTAGGATTCTTAACTAATTTCACTTATTGCAGCTTTACACATCACAGTAAGCAGCTAGGAAAACATGCTGACCTCCCTCCATTCATGTTTTTTCATATAAAGAAGTGACTTCATTTTCAAAAAGTACAGTAAGTCATTTAAAGGCAATTTCTGAGGCAGAAAAAAGCCACAGCTTCTTACTCACCACATTTTCTTTATCACAATAGGAGCTGAAGTAACTTGAAATAATTGCAGCATACTGAACAAGTACTTTGTTGATAGTCTAGAAGAGGAGAAGAGTCTTTTAAATGGTGAATTTCATAATGTAAACCGAAAATAATAAAAAAAAAGGTTTAAATGATAGGTTTTACAGGTGCTTGCACACATAGTGTATTATATTTTTTAGATATAATATAAACAACCCTGTGAGCACATTTTCAATCCCTGCACAGGAGATGGTGGGTAGATCTAATTGTAAAGCAATCTTCAATAGCAGAGATAGTTTAATTTTAGCACTACTGTTTTTGAGAAGCACTGAGAACTCCTCTCCTTGCAATGTACTACATAATTAATGGAACAGTAGCAAGCTCAAAAAATCCTCCAGGGTGACAATACGTAGACTAGAAATATAATGGAAATGTAAGACAAAAGGAGCACTGTTCAGAGCCTGGCAATATGAGTTACCTTACAATAATCATGTAAATAAGAACCCTGCAAATGGAGAATTGCTGCAATGAAAGAAAAGAATTAAATGTAAATGTGAACTTTTCTGAAGCCAGCAGGACTATAATGGAAATTCAGAGCTTGTGAGGAAATGTAACTATCCAAATAGAAAGCTGGCAGGGTTGAGTTTATCAAGCAGCAGGTGAATAACTACCACATCAAGATTTCAAACAAAAATACTTTATTGCCATACCTTGACTTTTTCCTTTACTTGCACTGCATAATTAGCTAATTGCATTTCACTGAATGGAACTGCAATTGGTTCTTAGCAAGATAACAATGCATACATATGTGTATAAAATACATAAATGTGAAATCTCAGAGAGGATAGAACTTCTCAAACTGGTAAACCATTTTGACAAAGTAGACAAAACCCAGCCTTAAGCCACAGACAGCATGTCTTTCTTAGGATCCCTGATTCTAAAAAGCATTGGAATCCCTTAGCTTTTAGGTGCATGGCAACTCAGTGTCATTCTCTCTGAAGCTTAGTTGAGATACATTGACTTTAATTTACCTTTGCAAATCTTCTCATTAAATGAGATAGTGCTTCTGGATTAGGACACTCCAATTTCCTAATAATCTCAAAGCTTTGATTGAGCTGTGTGAAGACATCAACCACAGAGCAGGAGAAAAGGGCATGATCTGATGTTTGTTGAAACTAGAGAGGAACATTCAAACGTTAATATTTGTTCAGAGATCAAAAATGCATTCATTGATTCTTATACTTGAAATTCATCCTAGAGTCATAAAAAGTAATAAAGGAAAAAAGAAGTCTCCCTGGTGATACTAAGAAATGTGTTTTTTTTTTCTTTTCTGATACTTTTGAATCTTTTAAAAATAAAATGAGAATTTTCTTTCATGACATCATTATCACATCATAGGTTAATGAAATTATACCATAGAATGAATTCTGTGGGGATTCAGGCAGAGGGAATTAGAGGGAATTAGAACAGGAATTTCTCTGTAAGGTATCTTCCAAAAGTTGTTATCTCTTGAAGTCTAAGAAAAATGTTGTGGGACCAAATGTACTTCTGGTTTTGTAATAATATATGTATTGATATTTTATTTATTCTTTTCTTTAAAAAGTAAGGGCTCACCCCATCCTTTTTGTCTCTTTCCAGTGCTCCATGGAGAAATTCCATTGAGACATCCTCATTTTCATCCAGCCACTGTATGACAAATGGTTCAAACCACCTGAAAATTAAAAGCAATTTTGTAAAGTAAAGTAGGTAGATTTCATAAAGAGGAGAAATCTTATAATACCCAGCAGTTCAGCACCCTGTGTTTTCAGGTATGCTGTAATTGCTAAAGACTTCAACAACTCTGGAAAAATTTTTGTCACCAAAATGCTGCAGCTACCAAAAGGCTTTTCAGGCTTAAGTTTCACAATATTCTCACTGGTGTACCCTGGTGATATAAAATTAGGAGTAGCCAATTCTCTACCAGTGAAGCATGGTAGGTATGCACCTTCTATCAATATTGGCTCTTTGGTAACATTTATTTTTATTTGCATATAAAATAACTTGTATATAACTTTGTTTTAGTAAAAGTCAGCTGTTTAAACCATCTCAGTAAACCAGCAGACTTGCAGAAGATTAAGGATAGCTCGGATACAAGGACAGGACTGAATATATTTATTGCAGGGAGGCAGGTGAAAACAAAACCAGTAGCTGAGTATAACCTGACCCAGTAAGAATTACTTCAGTAGAGTATCCTGTTAGCATTACAGCTTTATCCAAATTTGGTTATAAAACAAATGCAAAAATCACTTTCCTCAGACATTTTCCCACCAAAGCATTTTGTCATTTTGTCATCTCTAAAGACCTGGAGTTACAACAACTGTAGAAACCTATGAAATAGCTAATTGCACATTTAACACCTGGACCCTTTCACTTGATAGAATCAAGAATTAAAGAGAAGGAAGTGCAAAAAGTAGTTGGTGCTACACACCTTGAGATCTTGCACAAACCTGAGCAGAAATATTTGACCAAAATAAACCCTTCATGAAGCCCAGCCTCATGGAAGCCTCCCCAAAACAGCACTTACAGAGAGTATTCAGGCACTGCATCCTTGAAAGCAGAGAGCTCTCGCACATATTCATTATAAAACCATTTCACTTTGAAGTGCAAATTCATATAATCTGTGCTTTTGCATAATCGCTGCTTTTCATGTTCTGTAATAGAAGGAGTGGAAATAAAAGCACTTAATAGCGTTCTAACAGTAAATAACATTCTTGAGCCTCAGTGCACTGCTGACATAATAACACAGGACTCGCATTTTAAAGCATAATTGGTTTGATTTTTGTCAATGTAGTAATACCCAGCATTTCAATTTTCAGGATCTGAGTACCCTTAGGAAAAACAAAACAAACTAAAGACCAGTCCACAAATGAAGCTTCTTCCATCTCTTCACTGCAGTGAGAAAAACCCCACAAATTTGATGACTTCCCCTTCTTTAGATCCTTCTTAGGCTGTTACAAAATGGTTAGGAAGCTTTTGTGTGTCAAGCTAGAAAAGACAACCATAGCTGCGTAGTAGCCAGAGGAAGTAACAGCTATAAATGCCAGTCCTACAGGAATCTGTGAAAGCTGCATTTATCAGAGTTAAGAGAAAGAAAGAGGAGAAAACTCCACATCTCTACAGGCATCTGATTTATGGCACAAGTTGAGAAGATGGTTTAACAGCGTTTTTGAAATTTTTCAAATGGACTTCACCTTCTCGGTGTCCTTGTGTTTTCCACATACTGAATATGCAGATGGAGGTGGGTGGCAGAAATCATGCAGCCACCTGTAACCACTTTCTGCATTTTTAAAGTCTGATTTAATTTTTTTGGAACAAATGTCCATCTTTCTTCCAGGATTTTGATCTTGTTTTAGCTTGTACCCTATGCTCTGCATTCTTCACCCAGCCACCGCAGACCTGGACAGCTCCATTCCTTCTCTCTTTATCCTTGCTCAAATCTTTCATTTCCTTCTCCCTCAGCATGAAACCAGGGATCCACAAGTTTTGGGCAGAATAATCATACCTTTGTTTACTGCTCACAGCTTCCTAAAATCTCCACAGATCTCATCTGTCTGAGATGTCACTTGCACATTCTTCCTTCTCTAAGCAAAAGAGTAATTTCTTTTCCCAGCTCCCTTAAAAAATGGCCTAATACAGGCACTCAGCAGGAATTATGCTCTTGTGTAAATATTAGGTATTAAGAAGTTACCAGTTTCAAACCTCCTTTTTGCTCCTTACTTCTGCTTGCTTTGCAACACAGCATTGTATAAATCTCATATATTTGGATAGGAACCTAATTTTCTGTAACAGCAGGAGCATCTCATCCTCTGTCATACACTTGAATGTAGCATTGGATTGTCTGTCAGTGAAAATGCACTGTGAATGACACATTCTGTGTTTTCAGATCTAGCCAGTTACATTAGAAGGAAATGTTTAGTTTTATTATTATGCCAAATCAGCACTCCAGTAGCACACCATGCCATCCAACAAGTGTTTCAGATGTATTTTATTATGCAGTGAGTTACTAAGTTTTGTGCAAATTGACTTATAAAGTGCCCCTGAGGGCTTTTATTGCCTTTTTAGCATTGCAGTAGCATTTTCACCTTCACTGCCTTTCCATCACACTCAAGAAAAATCACTAAATCAGTTTCTGTCTAAATATTGCATTTATTCATGTTCATGCTACTTGAGAGTACTACAAACTCTCCCCAGAACAGTACCACTGTTACTAGCATTAAACAGGACCACAGAGAGAAAGATGTTGCCTTCTATCATGGTTCTGAGGAATCATATTTTTTAGGTAGCAGGTTTTTCATAAACTAGTACAGAAAACTAGACATTTGCTCTATAAAAGGTATTCTTACAAGGTAGACCAGCCTTTCACTGACAAAAATGATATTATTTCTATGAAATCCACTGCACATCTGCTGCTTAAGTCATTGTTATAAATCTGTCCTAGACTGCATCCCAAAAGAATGGAATTTCTGAAATGAATAGCACTTTTTTTTCATTCAAGCTTTCAATAAATGGGTTGCTAGATTATACAATGTAACTTGAGAATGTTTGCTACAGTATCACAAACCAAAGAAATGCTTATTTCAATTTTAGAAATGAGCTACTGCCACTAATTGGCAAACTTGTCCAGGAGGGTGCAACTTACACATACCAATCACTAATATTTTCTTTTTAAGGTTAAGATTTATAATACATTAAAAATGAGCACAAAAGTAATGCAGGAATAACTGATTTTTTTTCTGCAGGCTTTTATGCCTTGTAGAGAATATCTGAAGTCTCCAAGGATTTTACTTGGAGAATACATATAAGTGAAAAATACATCCAGAATCCCTGACATGAATGTATGAGAACATCATCTGTTCTCTTTCAACAATGTCTGACCTATATGGTAGTATTTCTAAGTCAACATTTCTTAGAAATACTACCATATAGGTCAGACATTGTTGAAAGAGAACAGATGTATCTCAAAATTTACACACAAATATATACTATGTGAGCCTTCTGTCAAGTTTTGAAAATTTTCTACAAATCTATTTTCCATAATCAGTAAACACTTCACAGGACATATGAGGTCCTGTGTATCCATGCATTTTTACCTCTTCAGTTCATATAAACCAAAGAAGGGAGCAAACAGGTGCCCAGATGAGTCAGCAGTGACAGTTTTAACTGGATAATAGATGGGTTTATCCATGGCAACCATGGATTTTGGTTGCAAAGTGCAGCAACATCACTGTAGGTGTTCTGAATTTAGATCAGGACCAATAGATTGCTTCCTTAATTTCTGAACATCTTGCACAAGCTGATATAAATGTGAGCACAGGATAGCTGGATGCATTTTGGAAATCTGTGTCTATTTTCCTGCAGAGAAAGCTAGTGCCATTTTTCCCTATACAGACATATCCATTTTGGGCTTTCTGGAAGACAGATGTAGTAGCTGCACAATATAACTTTTTTTGAAAAACTCCACTGTTGCTTTGCAAAATTATTATCCTACAGAGTCAGTCTGGCACTAAACCTGCCAGTTGTGTGCAAATGTGCTCTCAGGAGAGATGATGGCAGAAATACCTGACCATTCTCATAACTGATTCTAGGTAAGGAAATCTCCAGTATAGCAAATCTAATGCTGATAATGTTTTTTATTTTGTGCTGCTCCTTTTCTGACACATTCCTTATAGTGCAGCATATTTTTAATAGCATCTACTCATCTAATAAGTTTCATACAGAGGTCATGTTCAGTTCCCATGCTGGCATATGCACATCACTGCGTCATGCATCAATGAGAAAATACTGGTAAGATTCTTGTAAACTGTAACATCTGTAAATTTAGTTGTGTATATGGGGCACTTCAGCTACTTTTGGGAATTGCAGATCCAGCAAGTGTAACTTTTTTACATTGTTGATGCCACTTGGGGTGGGGGGTAATATCTCCTTCGGGGTGATGCTGTAATGCACATGTGCTTTCACAAGAGGAACTGTCATTGCAACCACACTGAAAACTGAATGGAATTGTTCCATCTCACTGCTACCAATCACAGAGATGGGAACCCCCTTAAGGAGACCTCCAATAAGCAACAGCACTGAAGGAAAAGAGATAAAATCTGCTCCAGTGTTATTTGTATACTCAAGAATGAACAGAGATTGTTTTTAAAAGCTATTACAGGGAATGCATTAATATATGGAAAAGAACTTGGTGTATGATGCAATCAGCACAGCCCTGGTGATGCTGTATCAGGCATGTAATTTAATTGCAGGCAGCAGTTCTTTTAGAGAAAAATTTATAAAGAAACATAATAGGAAGGATTATAATCCAAGGTACTTTCCTCACGGGCCTAACCAAACAACAGTACTTTGGAATCATGCTTGAGTTTTTGTTCATTTTTCCAGCAATTGCTGAAGAAAGCTGGGAAGATTTTCTTAAAACAACAAATAAAAGTCATAATGATGACTCACTAAGCAGAAATATCTATATGACATTAAGGACATTATCATTTAACAAACTGGAATAGAATCTTGTTCACTGCAGAATCCTTTTTTCTTTTTAACCTTGAGGTAATAACATCACTCTGAGTTTCCACGTAATTTTTGATATGTATTAGTTGCTAAAAAAGGAAAAAAGAGTAATCTAAAAACCTTCATAAAAGATGAACATGTTAAATATTCAGATAATCAAACTGATATTTTGTTCAACTCTGATTTTCCTGATTTGGGTACAAAAACTCAGAGCAAGTTTTTTTCTACGGCAGTTTCTAAGCCAATATTTTTGTAAAAACATATAGTTAAGCTGCCTGAAAGATTCTAATAATATGGTTTTAAAGTATATTTCAAATCTTTATGAACAAGAACTTCAAGGAAATTAGTCTGTAAAATTTAACAAATTGACTACATACACATAAATAGATTTTTCTAAAAAAACCAAACGTGTACAATTTTCAGGCTTTATAAATAATGTTTCAGGGATTAATAACTACTGTAAAGAATATCTATGTGTAGTAAATTAATTTCATTACAACCAGCTTGTTTAACTGACATGCATTCTACTGCTCTACAGTTTATTAAACAGAAATGGTTGAGACTAAGCATATGGGATTTGTGTTTGGATTAGCTGCAAATTTTCCCATCAAAACTCAGCTGTTATTCTCAACCATTGTGACATAATTCCATATTATTTGCAATAATTACCTACCAATCTTTCTAGAGACTGCCAGCTGCTATCTATTTCTTCCAGAACTGCTGTTTCAGAAAACCTCCTAGTTCCAAACTTGCAGTCATATAATTGGGAAGGGTAATTGGGAACACAAAACTGAGTACAGCTAGAGGAAGCAAAGCTCCAGTAAGGAATGATATGGATGGGGTATGCATTGGTATTCCTCCCTCTGAATCACTGTGGAAATGTTACACTGAATGATGCACCTCTGTTTTGGATAAAACCAGAAGTTAATGTTCAATGCACCTGTTCCCAGTGCCATTTCCCCACAATACAGGAGCAGTTGCTATGCCACAGCCTCTTTTATGCTTATAGTGCTCTAGATTTAATCTCTATACTGCTGAAAGAAACCTGAAGCCTCTGATTGTATGAATGCAACAGCATACAGGCCACAAATGAAGAAAAAATTTAACTCATAGTTTGTCACTGGTTTAGAAGAAAACGTTACATTCC